AATCTCAACTATCTTCACTTTTCTGTTTATTACCAAGGAATCTGAAACAGAACATCTCCCCTACACAAATGTCTGATAAGTAAAAAAAAAACCCACAGACTTTAAATTTATGTTTGAAAAATTATGGGGTTGTAACACACCCTTAAATGTGATGCTAAGGAATCCCACAGAACATAACTCATTTATACATAGTATAATTTGTATGAAGAAAATAATTTTATATGTATGTACATACACATGGACACCACACCTACGAAAAGTGGGGCTGATGAAATTCCAGAAGTCAGTCTAACAGAATTTCCAGGAAACATTTTATTTTGTGTTGTTGTAGAGCTGATATCACAAACATTCCTCCCACCCCCAGCAACTGATAAGTAACAAACCCTTTCTTCAGAGCATTTACTTTCATTTTGTTTCCTCCAGAATATGGAAAATTCATTTGCCACACAAAATATTAATTTGTCATGGATTTAGTTTTCAGTAAAACTACATGGAAAAACTGAACTTCTCCCAGTAATTCTCCTGCTCAGAAGTTTCCAGCATCATGAAACTCATGATCCACTACCATTTGAACAAACTGTTGGCCTTTCAGGTTTACTTTTTCCCCCCTCCTAAGCAGGCAAGAAGAAACTAGGCAATACCCAACAGTCTGATTTTCTCAAAGTGAGTGCTACAACCAGAGATGAAACTACCTAGTTCTTATGCAATGAACTGAACAGCTGAAAGTACAAAAAAACCTTACAAACAAACAAATTGGAATTTTTAGATGCCTCGTGACTCCTCATTCCACTACAAACAACTACCTTTTGCAAAGAAGGGTGCTGACACAACAAACAACTTCTCTGTATCCCCAGCATAAAATAACAGTGAAAAAACCCAAGGTTTCATATGTGTCAGTCTGCTTCAAAATCCACCTTGAATTTTTTTGCGCTTTTATACTCTGCATAACCTCAAGGAGAGCTAGGAAATGGTAAAACTAACTTCTTTTAGTGTATTGTTTTAGTTCCTCCCTTGCTACAGGGAAGCATATGTGTTTTCTACTTATCTGTCTACAGCAGGTGAACGGACATTTAAAGAAATTGCTGTTATCATTGATTTCAGCTGTTTTCTAAGGATGTTCCCTTTGGACAACAAGCATTTAAACTACCTGTAGATTTCTACAATTGCCTAAAAGCTGGAAAAACCAGCCAACTCTAAAAAAACACAACTAGAGACTACTTTTAACTCAGTAAGCATCACTACTAATTCACTAAGAATTGCAGCCTAGCTTTGGATATTAATATCCCATTAAGTGATAGCATAGTCCTCCAAAGGCAGTAAAAATCTAAAGTAACACCAAAGACTACACCAGCAACAGTAAATGAAAGTAAAAAACTAGAATTAAGCAGGCTATTTAGAATTGAAATTGAAGTGACAAAAGCTTTTTAACAAGAATTAATTCAAAGATTGCTATTGATACATCTGTGCTTCAATGGATTTAAAGACAAATACTTCAACTTTTTCATTTAAGAAGCCAAAAATTTAAGAGCAGTTACATGTAAAAGCTTCTATCAGTACACAGACAGGCACATTATATAGGGCAAGCAAAAGCAGTATTTGTGAATAGAAACAATCCACATTTGAATTATCCTCTAGAAAAATATGAGATGGTGATTTTATGAGCAAAATCTCTGGTTAGATGTCTAAATTCCAGGTTATTAATCTTCACACAAAACAAAGTATTCCCTGAAATCATTTACCCAACTACATGCTTCCCTTCACTATTTATCCACTTTGCTTTTCTCTTCATCTTTACACTGAAGAGAAAAAAGCTTTCACATAACTCTTTATAAAGACACACAAGGGCCTTTTTCACCCTGACTTTAATGTAACTGGTACTGAGTCAAGGTAGTTCAGAAAGCTAAATGCAGCTCCTCTGTGCAATACAGCAGTGTCATATTTTCAAAACCACCAATTTTAAATCACATTAAAAAAGGCAAACGGCATTCTAAACCCATCAATGAGAACTTAGATAAAGCAAAAGAACTAACACTAACCCGTATTTTTATTTTCTTGACACCATGAATAGTGTAAGGAAATGACTAAGAACACATTAAGAAATTTGCTGTAAATGCAAAACATTTGAATGCCTATATGCAGTCTTTTTTAGCCAAGTTTTCTGGCTTCCACCACCTGGATGTCATGTAAAACTCTCCTAGAAAGTGTAAAACAAGTTTTAACTTTAGAACAAAATTCCATAACCACACAATAACCATGTTTAGAACAAGGCCTCACAGTCTCACCTAGAACCTGGAGCACATGGGAATGAATGCAAAAGGACTGCAGCTGGCTCCATACAGCACCAGCACAGGTCTCTGGTTCCTACTCTAGTCCTCCAAGGCTGCTCCCAGCCCACACTCCCTCTGGAAGCAGCACTGCTGTTCAGGTTTATGCTGCTGACAGTAATTCCTCACAGACCTGAAGAGATTCTGTGTAGAGCCACTGCTGCACAAGCACACATCATAGATTATCTATATGTAAATCCAAGATAATGCACAGCTGACTACATGCCATTTGTTTGCTGTAATATGAAACCAGGCTCTCCCTATGCTAACTACTGAATAAGCACTAAAGTATGAAGGACCCTGCTTCAAAGAACTCTAAGTGTAATACATATTACAAAGACTCATACAACAAGAAATGGAATTGGTAAAGTGAGATAAAGAAGTCATTCACAGGAAGACATTCGACAAGGTCTGCCAGGTATTTGGAGATATCAAGGCAGGTGGAAATATAAAGAAGTATGTTGGACAGCAGCAAGACACTGGTGAAGATAGTTAATAAAGACACAACTAACACAAAATCCACATGCAGGAAGCAGCAGTTCATCACTTGACACCACATGAGACAATATGCAGTGGTGGGGAACTGGACCAGTTCCCTCACTAGTTGAAACCATCACCTGCAGTTTGAAATGCTGCTGCTGAAAAGGGCAGAAATGGTACAGACACAGAAACAGCAAATGTGATTGGAAGGAGTGATTAAGAAAAAGTCTCTAAAGAACATAAATCATACAGAACAAACTTGCTTGCACAATCAAGTGACTGCAAAAACTCCTTTTCTCTGCCCTGATGACAGTTCACTTTAAGTTGCCTACTCCATGCACTACATGCTGGAAAATACTAAAAATACTGCCCAAGTATCTGCAAAATTCAACACTGTAATTTTCTTCTATCTAGGGAGGTGCTTTAAAGCCTATAACCAAAAACTTCTCAATGCTTTTCTTTCAGTCCAATTACATGAAACCACATTACAATGCATCACAAAATACTCCTTTTTCAGCTACTTCAAATCAAAGAGAGGGGAAAGACAGACATATTTCCTCTTTCCAGCTATGCTATCAAAACTGAGAATCACAAGCAGACAGGCAATAAGGTGATATCTCACTAATCAAGTTGCAAGACATTTAAATTTTTTAACAGAAAAAAAGGCCCAACCTTACAATTCATTCAAAAAACTCACAGTATTTGCCCCATCTCATACAGCACTACTATGACAGAAAAATCTCACCAGGAACTTACTGAACAAGATTTTTTAACAAGGAACAGATTTTGCAAAACAGGAATCAAATTCCCTCCCCCTCAGCTCTTCTCTAGGGACAACAGAAAATCCTCCCAAGTCTCAGATTTCTTTTCCTAGTTTGTGAGGCCTGAAAAGTTTTAGCTATTTTCAAGTTTGAGAAGCTGCTTAAATCATACATTCAACAACCATAATCTGGGTTTCTAGTTTGGTGGAGCTAAATGCTACTGGAACTAATTGATGATAATGGCAAACTTGAAATTAAACCAGAGCAAATCCAAGCATAGAAAAATAATACTTACAAAAAAAGTTGTTAGAGAACTTGTTGCTTGCAGAAACAGAAATAAATGATCTTCAGAACAGCTTCACAGGGGTATTAAATTTACAGGGAGAACAATCCCATCAATCAGCTAAGATAAAACTTGAGCTATTGCAATGGAAAACTAACAAAGTATTTATGTGTTGTAAAGGTGATTAACATCTGAAAAAGTCTCAAAAATCTGCTGAAGAAAGTTAGTTTGAAATCACTTTAAAATAGTTATATTTCACAACTACACTTCACTTTTAAGCTGAAATAAAAGTTGTAAACAAAGATAGGAAATAAAAAAAAAACACACTGCAAGCATATTTAGATTTCTAGGGACAGTTTTAAGAAAAATCTATAAAAGGAAGAATTAATGATTGAGGAAATGCAATTCCCACTGTAAAGTCAGGAAACAGATTATGTTGTTCTCAATCTGAATGAAGAGATTATGTTCACTGTTTCAAGGGATGGTTACATGACTGTGAGGTCTCATATGGGAAAATGATTTCCCAATTTCTATTTCATAAACATATTAGTCTATCTTACTGAACAACAAACAAAATAATCTTATTAAAACCAAGGCAGAATTTTTGCTAGGAATTGTCCATTCCATCCTGTTAAGTATTTGCACATTTTGCTAGTTTAATAGCATCTATACATTTTCTCACGGCTATATTAGTTCTAACAGACCCCCACATAAGTCAGGATGGATACTTGCAAATACTGAAATACACAGCTTCTCTTTCAGACCACAAAGTGCCAAAAAGTTCTTGAACTCAGTAAGACTCTTTGTTCTCTCCTCTTCCCCTCTAAGGAAGGGTGTTTCTTTGTTGCAGCAGCTACTCACAAAACTTAAGAGATGTTTGTCAGTTCTAACATATATGAGTTGCAGCAACTGCAGCTCAACCGAAACTTTGGGTAAAGATACAATTTATGTTCTTTTCTTTATAGCACCCACTACCCTTTGGATTGTTGGAAAAGGCTGCAACAGCCAAATCTTTTCTGTCAGTCTTGCTTATCAGCTCTTGCTTCTTCAAAAGCAAGAGGGAAAGACCTCTTTGCAAGAGGCAAAAACCCAGGTCATGTTAAAATTCACAACCTAAAATATTTAGATTAAACTAACAAAATGTTTAACTACCTTTGCCATGAAGGAGGGAAGCCGCCGGAGCTGAACTAGGAAAAGACAGGACAAGTAGCCTGGGCAGTATCACACTGCTGTAGCTGTTTGCTTCAGCATATGGGAAGAACATCTGCAAGCAGTCCGACATCCTAGAAAATATATCCTGACTTTACAAAAAACTTCTTTTCTGTAACTCCAAATATTACATACTGATTGATGATCACTAAGCCTATCAGCAGTCTCATGGGGATGTGAACAAAAGGATGATGCCACAGCACACAGCAATCTTCCTCAAATGTTCTGCTACCAGAGACAGAAATGCTTTTTTGATGTTGAGGGAAAGAAAAAAAAGTCAAAACTTCACATGAAATAGTTTTCATACTTAGTTCATTATCCTTTATAACTCTTTGCACTATTAAATATTTTAAAGAAAGATTAATGGGAATCGGGGATGATTATCTCTAGGTTAAGGAGTTTATACTTAACCTTGTCAATGACTGGACGGTCACTACTGTTTTAATGTGGAAGGTGACAATGGTGGCGTCCTGACACAAATTAGTGGTGCTGGCTTTGACATCTTGTACTGAGGAACTGTGCATGCACTGCTGTTCAGCTGAACATCCAGATTTTTGCTGTCACCTCTCATGCAAAGCATGCTCCTCTAGCCTCTGCCCTCCTCTATGCTGCAAAATTATTCTTTAGAGACTCCTCCTCTGCCTGCAAAGCAGTTCAAGTCTCTGAAGTGCTGCCCATTAGTAACTGCTGTCCACCACTTCAATTTTTATTGCTGAAGCAGATATAGAAGAACACAGTATTCTGAGAATATTAACAACTGGCGTGTTTCTGCGCCTCTTATTCTAAAATGCTCTGTAAGACTATGTTAGTTCTGAGCCAGTGGTTGGTCAATTTGGACACCAATGTGTCAAGTGTACACTTAGCAAAAGAAATTTTTCATTTCAACCAAGTGTTGTATCCACTTGTGGTGTGTTTGAATTTCCTGCTCCTCTTAAATGTTTGTGCCATCTGGAGTTCTTCCATTAGTCTTGGTAATTTCCAATTAGGGTAAACTAAGCCTCAACACTACTATGGATCTCCAGGATAACCCACTTGATCTTTCTCTGGGCTATCAAAGACCTCCAATGTTACTGTGAATTAACTTAGAATATTTCAGCTGGAAGGAATAATCTAATCCAACTTCAGGGCTGACCAAAATTTTAAGCATCTTATTAATAGCATGAACTGCCTTCCAACTATTGACACTTCAGTGTTAATTCCCACAGTTCACCCCTCAATAACCCCCTATCAAGGACACTGACAAGCAGCTCCCCAGATTTTAACCACAGTAAAAATTAAATAACCTAGTAGACAAGTAATTATCTTTACTAAAGACATTGTCTGCCTTATGTTCAGTTCTTTTTAAGATACTTCAGATGGCTTTCAGAAGACCCAAAATAATGTTTCACTAGTCTTCCCAGGAGTTCATTTCTTGCAGTTGATGAAGTACATTTATCAACTTCTTATTCTCCTACTGAGATCCTTTAGTACTTTAACTAATTTGAAGATTCTTCACAATCCATTAGTGACTCCAGCCAAGTTGATCTATTTGTCTTATCACCAGCAACAACTCTTTCAACAAACTTCTATGTATCACCCAGCATTGGTTAAAAAATATCAGGTATCTTCTGGTATGAAAGTGGATATAAGGTTTTTCCATATTCTCTATTAACTTGAAATCACCAGTTAAAGGCATCAGGCTCATGGGACTTACTTGACAGAAGACTATTCCTGTGGAATCCTCTGAATCCTTTCTCCTCAGGGAAATCCCCAGAGCACTGCCTTGGAGAGACTTACCATAGTGTTTTCTCCACCTGGGTGGACAGAAAGGACTCCTTCATGGACTCTTGCTTAACACTGATCCATCCCAGTTCCTTTCCCCATGTGTCCCAACTTCCCCTGTTTTTCCTTTCTCTGTTTCCTCACTGGTTGTGGTACCTCTGGTGGCCAGCCCAGTCTTCCCTGTAAGCCAATGCCCTTTGCCCTGCCCTTTGTACCACCCCTGTGCCCTCCCCTACTTAACTTTGCACACAGCACCTGGTCTTGTCTTTGTCCCTGATCCCTTTGGTGTGGTGGGTGCAATAAACCTTCACTGGAATACATCATACAAAGATCTTTGCTGAACTGTCTGTGTGCATGGACTTGAAATGGCTGTTCTCGTGGCCTTACTCAGAGCGGCTGCTGAAGGAGACGCTTCCAAGAAGGCTGTAGCATTTCCACCATGCTGCAACATACCCTTGGAAAACTGGATGGAGCACAATGCTGGGAGAAGTTCTTGGGGTCTTGGTGGAGAGCTGGGGCTGTTCAGCCTAGGGAAGAGAAGGCTCTGAGGACACTTTAATGCACCTTCCAGTACCCAGAGGGGTTACAGGAAAGCTGGACCAAGGCATAGAGGGACAGGGCAAGGGTAAATGGCTTTAAACTGGCAGAGGGCAGGTTTATAGTAGGTATTAGGAAGAAATTCTTTACCATGAGGATGGTGAGACTGCTGGCATCAGTTGCCCAGAGAAGCTGTGGCTGTCCTATCACTGGGAGTGTGCAAGGCCAGGCTGGATGGGGCTTTAAGCAACCTGATCTAGGGGAAGGTGTTCCTGCCCATGGTGGTGTAGGGCGGGGTGGAACTGGATAATCTTTAAGGTCCCTGCCAACCCAAACCATTCAGTGATTATTTGAACATCAGAAATTACAAGATGTTTATCTACTATATTTGCTTCTATTAATTTTCTTTCAATTCTTCTTTGAATGCACAATAAAATTCTATTTTTAATATATTAACCTACACAGTCTGTGTAATAGACACAGAACATAATTCCAGCTAAACTCCATCCACTGTTTGCATAAATACAGACTTTAGAAAAACCATTTCCTTGGTACATCTAACTTTATAGTTTTCAAAAACAAAACCCCCAAAAACAACAATCTCCCTCCAGAAAACACCTTCAACAAAACAGCAACCTCCATCTTAACTAAATCCCAAAGAACACTGGAACACAGAACTCAAATCAAAGAATTGAAATGGAGAAATCCCCTGATCTGCCCTTGATTTCTGCTGGCTTATATTGCTACTGAAGAATGAAAGCAAATGAGTCAAAAAACTGCACATAAGTAAGGTGATGATTACAGTAAATTAAAAACTACTATTCCCACGTGGATAATGCACAGCAAAGAGAAGCTTCCCCTTCACCAAATCTTCATAATCCACTGAAGCACTTCAAAAAATTAAGAGTAGTTCCTCTGCATCCCCCATTCAGGTTACCAGAAAACACATATAAGATTCATGACATTCACCTGCAAGAGGAATCCAGAAGTATTTTGATGGACCTGACTGAACTAAACAAAGCTGCTGATAAAGGCATGGCTCTGATCACTAGGGATGGAAAGCAGGTGGCAGAAGGGAGATGTAACTGTTATACAGCACTTATCTGTGAATAATTTTACCAACACAACATGTCAACATTGAGAAATGCTAGTGAAAAGCAGCATCATTAACTGTGCAACTTCCACTAGCAAGGAAAACATCATTTTCATTCTCAGGAAGTGTATCTAAATGGACAAATAAAATATTGTTGAATTTTAGATTTACAAAACTACTTTATAGCTTCTGCACAAGTAATAAAGAATGTGATATAGCATGAAGCATGATGTCAGGTAAAAGGTTTTCTATTTTCCTATGTAGGTCAATATAAGAGGAAGGAAGTAGTAAAAGGCAAAGCCAGAAACAAAATGCCAAAAGAAATTAAAGAATGAGAAACAACAGGTAAAGAAGAAGATGAAGATACAACAGACAACATCCCTGCTTGTAACGTCAGCAAATTTTGTGTATTTACATTTGGTCCTATACATACTACAATTTTGAGTACAGTCCCTATGTCCTTGGGTTTGGGAAGGTGCAGAAAGTTCCCTGCAGACCTGAACTGTGGCACTCTACCAGAATCCTGGGGGAGAAAGTAATTCCTACCTTCAAACCAAAACAAAAGTTTTTAAAATAAACTTGGGAAGCTTTATCAAACATTTGAGGGCAAAAGGCTTAAAACTGGATTTTGTTTTTCTTCTAGGTTACCATTTGCAAAAGTAGAGTTACATTTTAATCTACACTCAATTCTACTTCTCTTTCACCTGAATAAAACATTCTCATCTCTATGTGTAACAACTAAGACTCATTCCTAAATGCGTATTACTTCACATAAAGCTTACCAGGAGAGAGTGCCTTTTCAAACTGCATAAATTCAAATATCATATTCTGATAAAAAACAGGCACTCCGAAAAATGATATGTTTATGTAAGTTTAAAAAATGGCTCCAACTGAACATTTCAAAATTATTTTATGCAGTTTCACAAATAACTGCTTTAACAAAATTATTGGCAAGTTTTAGGTTTTATTATTACAGCATTGAAAAATCAGCTTAATTCACACATACTGTTCCTAAAGATGTGGATCTGACACAAAACACAGCAACTGTTTCAATGAAAAACAAATCTATGACCTACTGTATGACCTATATGAACACCATCTCTTGTGGGCCAGCAGTGTTTGCCAGACACACAGCTGCCCTCCAGCCTGCTGCTGGAAGAAATTCCAACTGTGGCACAGAGAACATCCACTGAGGAGTACCTGGATATTGGAAGCACCTGACACCACAGTGACAGGGATAGTGTGAGGAGTGTTTCCACCTGAACTGGGCACTGATGTTACTGCAGCTACTGCTACAGGTGGGGCAACCCCTACTCCAACCCCACTCACTGGCTTCCACACCAGCATTCAAATGCTTCATTCCTCTGATCTCCAGCCAGGACACCTCATCCATGCCTAGGAGGACACAAGAAATGCTCACGCCACAAAAAAAAGCTAAAAAAAAACCCAAAAAACTTTTGATAACAAAAAAGGCTCTCCTACATATCTTTAAATATATAGCTCTTATAATTAGTATTGAAAAAAAAAAAAAAAAAAAAAGAAGTCCAAGCAATACAAGAACAATATTTATTGGGAAATATGTTTACTGATTTAAACTTTAAATCTTAAATGCCATTGCCAAAGTAGGACTCTAAAAGAAAAAAAAGCACTACCGGTTTTTACAAAACAATATATTAAAATTGTAGAGCTCCATATATTATAAATTCTTGCCCACGTACTTCCTTGCTAAAAAAATCAAAATATAATTTTCAATCACAAAGGCAGCAGTTTCTTTTACATTATTACTCAGCATGATGTGTAAAACCACTAATTCTGTTATACTGCCATGTCTGATTCTATAATTAGTAGACTATGTATCAAAGTAGCACAGAAAACTAACTTTTCTATGGGAACTACATCTCACTCTTATACCCCAGCCTCAATTGTTCTTTCAAATGTGTTAAGCTACACAAAATTGTAACATAGTACTTGACATTAAACGTCTCTAACTCACCCAACAGTACATGTGGGGGTCTTCACAAAACAAAGATTTCAGACTCAGATTAAAAGTAAATTCATCAGCTCACTTTGAAACATTTAAGACTTGGCTTAAAACAATTATAAGTGACAACAGCAAAACACTCTGGTATTGACAAAATCCTCTCAGGAAAAAACACGTGTCCCTGCCTGAACACTCACACTTAATGATCTTCACACATTCCTAATCTACCATAACTGATGTATTATCAGCCTTTTATTATCTGAATGGATATAAATAAAACACAAAATACCACCTACAATCTAAAATAAGTACTTCTTAATGGAGAAAAAAATACTCAAGTCCAAGAAATGTCTTATTTTTCATGCTAAAGGAAAGTGGCAAATCCAATTAAAATCTAACATATGTGGATAGATATTTAATCAGACTACAACACTTAGATCTCAAATATAGACAAAATAAACCAGTCCATTAATCCCTCTACACAGTTCTACCTTATTCACCGAGTCTTACAAACTATCAAATGTTGCATCTTTAAGGAAAAATATAATATATAGACAATTATATGGTAGGAGTATTTTTTTTAAATCTTGAACAGTCTTGGTTTTGAGTAATGCAAGATCTAAAGCTACTTTACCTTATCAGTACTGTTACAGTAGATATTTGCTTATTGTCAAAATACTGTAGTAACATGAGTTCTGCAACTTCTTCAGACTACCTGATTAACTCATCACTGTACCATGCCAGAACTAAAATTTAAGCAATATATATCACAGAGGAGACAAATAGAAGATACTTAAAATATATGAGTCAAGGTAGACTCCTTATTTTTAGATAAACTACACAAACTCATTTCCAGTAAGTCTAGCTTTGTATTTAATCAATACACACGTGAAGAGTTACAGAACTTAATGCAGCTTTTAAAAACTCACTTCCTTTGTGAAGAGATTTATCATCTAATTCTACATTAAACTTTGTATCAACCATGCAAAATGTCTATATGACTAGTTCAATCCATCATCCAAAATTCTTCCTAAAAAAACATGGATGAAATCTAACAGCAAAGTTATGAACACATAGATCTGACATGACTCCACTTACTTCCACTAGGAATTACATACTGAAAGCATTATATGGAAAGATGGACAACCAGACCTATTACCTCTGATACTTCTGCCAACACCTCAATAAAGCAAGAGGTAATCTATCCTGGAGTTGTATGGAAAATTAAATTTAAAATAATCACAACTACAAAACGTAGACCAGATTACGTAGTCCAAGGTACACAAATATGTGGTGTCAGAAAATAAGCCTGCCTAGAAAGGCTGCAGATGTGCTTTTAGCATAGCCTGCAGAGGACAGTAGATCATATCAGCACTCAAGTTTAGTGTAAATAAATGCATATACAGAGAACTGGCAAAAAAGTCAAATGTGGCTTATTACTGAGGTGGTTTTGCTATGGAGTTAGGCATTTCCTTCTGAACTCCTAAGATGGTTGTCATAACCTCTTCTGATGCATTTCTTCTACGTACCTACAACTACTCTTAAATAACCATGTTTAGAAAAACTATCTGTTAAGCAATAATGAAATATAATCTTTAGAGATAAGTAGCCTTTATTTGTAAGCTAAACATTTCACATACCAGCTCTTGCCTACTATTCTAAAAGCCACAGCAGGTACTCTGAGTGAGATCCAAACTAAATCTTGCTGTAAAGTTTCAGCATGCAACCATTGTATGAATTTTATATAACTTGTTTGAAATGACACCGAAGCAGCTAGAACTGAATCCTTTACGTGTTTTGATGTAATTTAAAA